TATCATATTTTAATATTAGTTCAAGACACATACATATAACAAAAGCAAAATGTGTTTAACTTCAATCATAATACATACTTTATATTAACAGATAATATGTATAACTATAAACCAGTGGATTAAAAATGAGGTACATTCTGAGCTGATGATCTATCTAGACATCTCTAACATCTTATTTCTTGCCAAAGAATGAAGTAATGCTCTTGGATCCTGATGCTGATTTAGCAAGCGCTTTGGCCTTTGCTGTCTGTGGGGTCTTGCTCTGTAAGAAAAAGCATATGTTGTCAAGTAGATAGGAAAAATTAATATTATGTATTTATGTATAGGGGTGTGTGTGTGTGTGTGATACTAACATATTTCACAGAAAAACACACAAGACAAACAATTACTTATCCCAATATAAGCTTGAGCTATATATAAAAACACAAATTGCAAGAGCATTACCTTTTCCACCTTAATATCATCCTTGGTGTAATCTTCAGTGGGACCTTCCATTTTTTGCTTCTTTGTTGGTGGTTGGTTCTCTGCACCTGTCAAGGCCTTCTGCTTATTTGATGGTTCTGGCAGCTGGAGGTGCATAGAGAGGTCTTTTGAAAGCTCTTCTGGGATATAATCTGATAAAATGCCATGTGCTAGAGCTAGGTATGCCACTGTAAAAAGAAAAAGAAATTAATGTCATTCTTCCTTAATCATATATATGGTATATGATATAAAAGCATCTTATGGAATGGAAAAAATCTGGTTGGTAGAGGTTTGGAAAACACTATGGGGAGAAGCACTAAAGATTGCCAAGTGTTACTACACACTTACAGGATATTCATGTTTAATGTTTTAAACAAAGAAATGTGCTAGACCTGAAGAGTTATACAGCACTATGGTAAAGTATTGTAATGGGAGAAGTTCTTTATTAGAACAAAATATCTTAAGTTTCAGCAATCATATGGCATTATAAGATAGTATGGTAGTGAATGGAGTAGAAAGAGGGGGAGAAAATGAGGTAGGATAAGGATTGATAGAAGTGAAAGGGTTGAACACTAAGGGTGATTAGATCAAATGGAGGGTATTTATGCATCTAAGGCAGGCAAACAGGCTGTTAATTGAAAAGGTCGGGGATTCTGTGAAGGTGCTGGACAGGTCGGGAGTTGAGAAAGAGAGGACAAGTAATGAAAAGTGAAGCTGGGGCAAGATAGAGGTGGGTATGAAATCATACCCACCTCATACACACAGAGGTATAAAAGATTGCCAACAGGTATAGAGGAAAGTTTTGATGTGGGGGTAGTAATCTGTGGCTGGAATGTGTGAAAAGCAGGGTTGGTGAGTTGTGGATAAGGCAGCATATCATGCCAAGGCATCTGCTTGTTCATTGCTGGGGATCCTGACATGGCTAGGTATCCAGCAGAATTTCACTGCTTTCTGTTGTGTAGACAGATAAAACAAATGGTCTTATATCTTATGGACTACAAGGTCGATAGCATGTGTGGATTGTCTGAGTGACATTGAGTTGCATCAATCAGTGATGGTGAAGAATGGGGAGATGGAAGACATGCTTTGTAAAGCAAAGTGGAGAGCATATATTTCTCTTGTAAGGATGCTCAATTCAGGAGGAAGGGGAAAGCTGTATGTGTGAGAAGGAAAGATTACAGCCAAACCAGTAACTGAAGTGGATATGGTGCTGTCTGTATAGACATGGCTACTGGAGGAGTGACTAAAGATATGTACAAGAAAATGTGTGAGGAAGATGGAAGGTAGGATTTTTTATTTGGGTGGATCAGGGAAAATAGAAAAGCAATTACAGGAGGAAGGTACTAGCCAGGGAAGGAAAGGTTGGGCAGAAAGAGGAAGGGATCAGAGATGAGGAATGAGTGAATGGGAAAGCAGTTTCCAAATATGCAGGGAAAGGGAGAGGAGGAGACGGTATGAAGAAGGGACTGGACAACAGTTAGCTAGGAGAGAGAAAATTGATGAAACCGAGCACAGCTTCTTAGAGACAAAAGAGCATGATGTCGAGGAAGGACTCATTCAATATATAGGCTCTCAAATGAAGAGGATCAAAAGGTACCTAGGGCTAAATGGAGACCACAATGATGGATTGTGTCAAGCTGAATAAGAAAGGAGGCAGAGCCAATATATATGACAGCTGTAATCAATGGTGGAGAGGATTATGGTAATATGGAGATGGAGGGGTGTTTTGAGGTCTGAGCCCCAGGATATATGTGATATGTCAAAAATTACACCAAGGAAATTGCCTGAAGGGTGGAATTAAATGGGAGCATCAAATAGGAAGAGAGTAGGTTTGGAGCCTAGGCATAAACAAGAAAATAGTATAGAAAAGGTATTAAGAGGCTGAAATTAAAAAAAACGTAGTTGGTAGCCCAAGAAGAGATAGATGCTGTTGCCAACTGGAGAAGCTGATGGAGATCAGGTATGAAAGAACTAGACAAAATGGCTAGATCATCTACGCATAGTGATGACCCGATTCCTGGTAGCAGAGCTGAAACTAATCTGTTTACAGCAATGAGAAATAATGTGCTGAGCACAATGCCTTCATATCAATGGAAAGTAGAGGAAGTAGAAGAGGCAAATCTAACACAGAAGATGGGAACAGAAAAAAAAATTATGAGAACACCCATGCTTCTGCATATACCTCTTCTTTTCGAAGAAGACAGCTAATACTGAATTATGGATTGTAAATGCTGATGAGATTTGAGTTTCGAAATAAGCAAGAGGATTGGCTGAGCTTCTGCCGTGATGAATTCCAAAATGATTTGGAGATATGAAGTTGTGATATTCAAGGTAAGACCTTAGCCAGATGTTAACCATCCTTTCCAGTAGCTTGCATAGGCAGCTTGTAAGCGCTATGACATGGTAGTCTTGAGGAAGGGTACCAGGTTTGTTTGGTTTTTAGATAGGTAGTACAGAGCTTCTCACCAGTGGGAAGGAAAGTTTCCATATGTTATTGAATACTGAAAGAAGAAAGGACAAGGAAGATGGTGGAAGATGTCGTAACATACAGTCATGTTTACTGTCTGGGCCTATGCGAGTGTTTCGGCTTGACTGTAATGCATAATAAATTTCAGAAGAAAAAGGTGCATTAAAGATTCTGCAGAGGACTGGGAGAGGATGTGCACTCTTTGTCTGATTTTAAGGAAGAGAAGTAAGGAGAAAGGTGAGATCTGCTACTGATCTGGCTAAAATAGGCACTAAGTTCAGTAGCTACTTGAAGAGGGATAGAGATGAGGCTATTGTGGATATGGAGGATGGGCGCAGAATGAGGATGTTTACCTTATAGTTTAGGAATCCGCCATCAGACCTCAGAGGCAGGTGTGGATGATTTTATGAAGGAATAATAATTTTGCCAGCTGTTTGTGATGGAGTTTTGTATTGTACTGTGAAGATGAGCTGATGCCTTTTTAAATGATATGAGGGCAGTTAACTAACTGGAGGTACCTCTCTTGAAGCATTCAGCCTGGAACAGGCTGAATGTTTCAATAATCTGAGTTCCACCCTGGAACACATTTAAAAGTTTAAGGTTGGGAAGTTTGGGGAATGGCTGTATAGGCTGGATTTAGGACAATAGCTGTGAAGTATAGAAGAATGTCTGAAATGAAAGAGAAGGAGTAAATAGGAAGATCAAAGGTGGAGAGGGAAGTGGGCCATAGGAAGTAGGAGAAAGGGAAATAGGGAGGTGATCACTATAACGAAAGTGGTCTAGAACTGATCAATGCAAGTGTAGGTGTAGAGATAGAGAGCAGAGAGAAAGATCAAGACATGTAAAGGATTGGTTACACGTGTCAAAGTGAGTGGGACAGTTTGAATTAGAAGGGTAGGTATTTGGGAGAAAGTGCTCTAAGGAGCAACCTCCGTAAGTAATAGTGGAGTAACCCCAAAGGGTGTGTGTGTGTGTGGGGGGGGACTACTCACTCTGTGTTTGTTCCAGGTTCATTGCACGGACATAGGTAAAACTCTGGGCATTAGAAGTAGGAACTTTCTTTTCCTGCAAGAGAGTGGAAAGCTTCCTTACTCGACCTTCCAACCAAGACAAGGTTGACTCTTTGCTATACTTCCACACACCCAGATCTGGACTTCCTGCAAAACAGTGAATAAATCTTTATTACCAAGATTTTTATATGTCTCTTTTCTTTATGTCTGAAAATTGTGAATTACTGTAATTTTATCTAAAGAATCTGGAACCTAAACTGTGTATGAGAAATAATAGCCTCTTGTCTAATAAACTCTCGTACTCTCTTCCTATTCTTCTGTCTCTTTCTCTCTCTATCTCTAAGTATGTATATATGTATGTATGTACATTCAATGATGGACAAAAATCACCTTCAACTCTACACTATCGAATAGAGTACAAGACCTGATGATTTTTCTTTTCTCAATTTTGTAACATTGAATCTATAGTTACTTTCAAGCTAAATGAAGGATTTAAGGAATATGCATTATTATAAAATTAACCAACTCATAAGCAGGGCCGGATTATGACCTTTTGGGGCCCCTAGGCTAATGAAATTATGGGGCCCCCTCAGACGGAGCCACCCTCTAACTCAGCTGTACCCGTCTTGAATATTTTTTTTACTTGTGATATATCTTAGCGACATTTACATAGCTTGAAGTAAACTTACTGCAAATTCTTTAAATAAACTAGCATAGCTATCTTTTGTTTGTCACTAAAAATATAAAAAAATAGATTTTTTATAACCAAGCCCCTCAAACTTGGGGCCCCCAAGCTTGAGGGGCCCTAGGCTGCAGCCTATACTAGCCTATAGGATAATCCAGCCCTGCTCATAAGGCATAAGTGTGTGTCATTCTAATACGTTTGCAGTGTTGTCGTAAAGGTTGTTGCTTTTATTCATCACTGTACATGACTATATCTATGTATACATGTATGTGTGAACTCCTTATCTTCTTCTCCCTCTCTCTCACACTGACTATCAGACAGACAGACAGACACACATACACATATATGTATGCATGCACATAAACAAACGAACACATATATATGATCCAATATATAAATATAAATATTCTTCAAAACCAACCTTTCCTGTCGGCAATATGTGAGAAATCTTTCCCAGCTGCAAGACTAGATACATGCACTATAGCTGGATACTGGTCATCTTCCAGTAGGTGATCAAGAGGAACATTTTTGGTGGCCTGGAAACCAGATATAATTGCATTATTTTGTTGTTTATATAAATTGTAGGATGTTAAAACACAAAGAAAAATAGAAACAATATAATGACCAAGGTTGACTGAAAACTAAAGTACTTATCAAAATAATAATAATCTAAAAATAATACCTAATACTGAACTACAAAGAATTACAACATCAAACAACATTATCTAACCTGCATTAAATATGGTAGGATGAGATAAGAGATGTCAACTGGCGTCGTTATGTATAATTTCCCATCTGATTGAACTGTCTCACCAATAAGCCAGGACCTGTTGAAAAGATATGAAAATAATATGAAATCTATCCTTAGATACTTTTAGATATTCTGACATGTTTAAAATAACTTTTGCTTTTGAACAATGCAGGAGAAAGAAGAAACATAGCTGCAGGTTTTTTAATTACATATCTTTATTCCTATATAAATCTAGTGTCATATTATGTCTATTAGTCCTATTCTTTTGCTGCTTTACTTTTATGTGTGCTAAATGGCTCAGTGGGATAAAGAACCTGAGTACTGATCTAGTGTTTGGGAGATCATGCCTCTCTGATGCTGTGAGTGATAAGGATCGCAACTTTTCTTGGCATTCAGAGGGAGGTGACAACCTATGGGATCAGTATGGCAAGGCTGTCACTCATATTCAGAGATACTTCAGACATCTTGGACAGAGAGCTGGAGCAGAGTATTCAAAATATAGTGATAGTGTGAAGCTTGGGGGCAAAGCCCCCCAAGTAAGGAAGTGCTTTATGACATCAAAGGTTATATGGTGCCATGGTAAATTAGATTAGCAGAAAGGGTTAGGAATGAGTTAAGTTAGAAGGGGAAGGAGTTAAGGGAGTAGGAAGCATTATGAAAAAGTAGGGTGGCAAAAACAGCAAAAATAAGCTAAGGGATTAGGATAAGTGGACATAACAAAGGGATGAAGAAAAGGAAAAGGAAAGCAGGAGATGAAGGAGGACCGAGGACCGAGGATCAAGGCAGGGGTGATCCCCTGCATTAGACCTCAGTCACCATCTCCTACGCCCCCCACGACAACAAGAAGCAAGGGATGGGAGGAAGGGAATTAATCCACAAAAATACATGCCATACCATTTTTTTTTTCTTTAATCATTATAATCATTACTGCCATTATTATCATCATTATCATTATTATTAATTGTCTTTACATACAGATGGCTCTACATGTGCTTAATCACCAAGGAATTACATTTCATATTCATTGGTATTAGAATTGTTAATATTATTATAATATTCATAGTGTCAATAATAATCATAATAACATCTATAAAAAGTAGTCAAGTGTAGATTACTACACTATATTTACCCAACAGTAATGGGTCTAACTTGGATACTACCTCTGTAAGCATTTCTCAAATTCAAGCATTTCCAAGATGGTGGATTCTACAGCCAAAAGACCAAAGAGATAGGGTATAAAATTCTGCAAAGGCTTGTCTCTATGATTTTTTGCTCTATTTATTATAGTTTTGCACAAAATGGCTTGATGTTTAATGGTTACAAAGCAAAACGTATGTGCTAGACATCAAAGGTAATACAGCACTATAGAAAGGTGTAAAAAGGGTAAAGAGGGTAGTTAGTTGATGATTAACCCAATCGGCACAGATGGCAAGACTACAATGCCATGTCCACTGTAATAAAAGCTTTATTTTATGTCTTTAATGTTATTAATATTTCAACAACAATTTAATAATCATAATATCAATAAGAATTAGAATAATGTCAATATTAGTAGTATTAGAAAGAAAAACACATTTTCTTGCAAATTCAAGGAATGAGTAAATTAAGTGCAGTCACTAGGGCCTACTGATAGACTCCTTGCTGGCTGAGCATATGTGGAGCCATCTGTATGTAACAAAATTCACAAAAAACTAAAGGGGACAGTACATAACCCTGCAGTCATTGGATTAAATGTGCTACACATCAGAAGTCATGCAGCAGTTCTGAAAGGTAGGGTTTAACAAGGATGATCAGATCAATATTGTCAAAGGAAAATTTGTGGGATAATGCAAGGATGTCAATAGGGTAAAGTGCTTAAGGGCAATTAGATCACAATCTCTGGGAGAATGTCAGGTGGGAGAGAATCCAGGGAAGGGGGTTGCTGTGACAAAGGGTCACATCCATGGGGAAGCGAGAGGGATAATGGAGATTTATTTATTTATATATATATAGAAAAAATTCTGCTGAGTCAACATCTAAAGTGATTAGTGGCATATTCAGGTAAGGAAATGCTATATAACATCAAAGGTCATACCTACTTTACAAAAAATTTATCCCATTTGGCTGGGCTAAACAGAGTATTCAAGATACATGCAGACAAGGGGGTAGTAGAAGGATAGGGATGTGTGGAAGAGGGAGTTGAGAGAGGTAGTGTTGCAGAGTGGTGGACACTAAGGTTGCAGAGTAGTAATAGGGGAGGACGGGGCTGTTGATGAAGAAAGTTGTGGGGGTGGAAGAGATGAAGTAGTGGATGTTGGGAGAGGAGGAATGTTTCCTTGAGAGTGAGTATTGACCTGGATGGATGATTTGCACTGAGCTGATGTTATAGTATGTATTGAGGAGGGGGTTGTGGTAGTAGTGTTCAGAGTCATGGTCAAAGGATAGCCTGGGATCGGGAACTGGAATTGAAATCAGTGGGGCTATTTCATAAAGAGGTAAATCTTAATGCCCCTCTAAAGGCTTCATTACTGGCCATGGTATGCCTGGAATATGTTAGGGAGAGAAATGGTCCACCCCTCAGGATCCCCATGTGGGGTAAGAGCTATACAAAAACAGGAATATCATGGCCATGGCTCCACCTTGGGCTTTGTGACTGGCATGGAGTCAGCCTTTCATCCTTTCAACACAACTTTTACAACTTAGGAAGTGGATAGTTAAAGGAAAGGAAACAAAAAGGGGGTGGGGAAAAGACCATGCAAAATTAGCTGAGGCCCAAGGTAGGGGTAACCCCCCCCCAGGCAACAATGGGCATGGGAATGGAGGGGGACAAAATGGCCCAAAATTAAATGCATTTTGGTCAAAATAATTCAAATGGATGCTTATGCTTTACTCAAGAATAAAAAACATTAAATTCTTCATAACAGGGCATCCATATGAAATTAAAAAGTGGTATTCTTGTTTTCTTTTAACATTAATGGGTTTCATTAATCAAAAATTAGAAAGTGAAAATGGTGAAAAATAATATCATTGATTAGTTATCTAAAAAACCTTTACTACTATAACCTATTATCAAGGAAATCTGTTCACAATACCTAGTGAAAAGTAAACTTAGCTTGGCCCCACAAGTGCTTAATCACCAAGGAATCAATTGCTAGTCCTACCTACCTCACCCTGTTTAATCTTTTCCTTAATTTCTGGAAAGATTGTTTTCTATTTCTTATTGATATCATTATTTTAATATTACAATTATCATACTGTCAGTAACAAAAATAATTATTGATATGAACCCATTGGATCCGGGTGCAACTGTGCCTGGACGCAGCCCAAAAGATGGGCATTAGACTTACTTGATGGTGACTCTTGGGTATCTGACTTGTAGGGCTGATCCACAAGTACAATTCCTTGCCCCTCCATTGCAAAAGTTAATATTTTTAATGTAATACTTTCTGTATTTTTGCCTTTTTACCATGTTCCAAGATCCATATTTGTTGCTCCTTGTTGGCTAAGCCCTTGTGAAGCCATCTGTGTGCAATAAAATTCACAAAAAAGTACTTGTCAATTTTGGCCCCTATTTCAGATTTTTCATGATACACACTGCCATGTAATGTATCATTTTAAGGTTTTAAGAAAGTATACATTTGATATCTATTGTTATTCACTAGATGTAAACTTTCTGTGACAGCCTTAGGTTCAAACATTTTTGTGAGAGAGACTATGACTATATGAAACAGTGAATGATTGCTTGGCGGTGGGGACAGAAACTGATGTGTCCAATGTAGAAAATGTTAGTAGACACAATTCTTGAGAAGCCAAGACCAATTAACACTGGTGTCTTTGCTCTCCTGGTATGATGGATATTGAAAAGTTTTGGGCCCAGAAAGTGCAGCCTACTTCACAGCATCTATGCACTCTCAAGTTGTGATAGTGTCCTACCCCTTTATAAAAGGAGAACAGTCAACCTTCAAATATAGGCCTAAGAACAATTTACCAGGTCTTGGTAAAGTAGCTGGACAGTCAGGTGCAACCCACAATCAGCTCAAGGCAACAACAGATACCAGTACCTTCTTGATGCTTTATGGATGAGAGAATCACACAACAGTGAGTGATATGCATGCTCAATTCTACCACAGCCTAAGGAGCCCCTGCCACTGACTGATATCAACTTGCAGTAGCTCTGAGCTCAACTTCAGATGTTATTGTGTAACAAAATGACCCATCAAAAGAAATTCAAATTATTGCCAGCTTTGGTTGGAACAGAGGATGCTCCACCACCCGACTGACAGTCTCAACAGCACTGCCATCCAAGAGGTAGTGAACTGCAACTGTGCCTCAGAGGGAGAGACTTGCAGCAATAGATTATGCAGTAGCAACAGAGTTGCCTTTTCATGCACATACCACTGCAAATGTGAAGTTGCTTGTTACATCTACTTTAGCAGTTAGCAGATGGACACCAAAAGTGAGAAATGGGAGGCAGAAAATGTTAACCCATTGCCGCCAGGGATGGCATGTACGTACATGCCATACCCACTGTGAGTCGACTTGTTCGATTGTTTTTACTCATTGATGGCTACACTTGTACTAAGTATCCAATGAGCCAATTACATTACTGCCTATCTCACCCGTTCACCCTTTTCATCGATTTACGAAAATATTTAACATTATCATAATTTGCTGTTAAAAATAACACCATCTATATTCATAGCACTAGTAAAAATATTTTTTTTCCCGCCAATTCAAGGAAAGGTGAAATCAGGGCTAGCAGAGCCATCTATGGACAGACATATTTCACAAAGATATAAAAAATGAGCACTGCATTTCCCCATTTTTTGTTCATTTTCCCCGGCGGCATGATGATTAGTAGAGGAATGTGACTTATGATGGCAGATAGTACTGATATACTCTCTGAAAGATACTTTACCAAGAACTTAATTGTTCATTAGTTATTAATGAAAATATAAGCACATGTTGGAATATGTTTAATTTTGACCAAAACAAGTCCTCTATTTTCCATACCTTCTGTGCAAACACTCAGAGCAAAAATACAGAACAACTTATGCATAATCTAAGGCCCTATTGTTTTTGGTCCCTATACATCTTTATCTATTTTTTTATTTATAATCTCTGCAATGTCCAAAATCTTGAATTCCGATCATACTTGTCACTTATTTTGGCAACTCTACAAAATTAGCAATTTGCTCCAAAACAACAAATGTGTAAGAACACATGCATACACTGACATGTTCTCCCTTGCCAGTTAGAATAAGGACATGTAATCTTGATATGGGAAGATACTTGAACATACTGATTGTCATAATACTGACAGAACTGGATGGCTAATCAATCTTATTAATACTAATTCCACTAAAAGAGAATGTATCATTACATTTTTATGTGCAAATTTGAAAAGAAAGAAGAAAAATCTCATATATTCCTTTTTAAATCCAAGGAAATAACCACTGAAACTGGTATGTCAAAGCAATCAGTGACCAGAACTCTCCCTCCTCCTTTTGAACATTCTAGATCCATTACTGATAGTAGCTCCCATACAAAAAACTACATACAAAATCCAAGTTTACAAAACCATGAGGGTTGTGATCATATAGTAATACCAATTCTAAACATTGGATCAGGCTAAACTGAGTGAGAATGTTTGAACTATCAAGAACACTTCAAATATTTGGCAGCAACAAGCACAGCAGTACTATAAAATGTGACATGTGATGGCAGTAATGAAATGCCCTTCCATATGTTCAATATCAATATTACTATGAGTAATACAATGTCCTGCCAACTTTACATACTTCACCTCTGAATATCAATACATATAATTTTCCAATCAGGAGTCAGTATAGCAAAGAGTAAGGTGTTACATAGCCTCATAGTAAACTATTGCTAGCACTGGATGGGATGAGTTGGCCACCAAATGTGCAACTTCACTCTTATGAAACTGAAAATAAAAACAAAATGCAAATAAAAAGTAATGGTCAAACTCATTCTAGTTTGTAATTTTTTGGGAGATTCTGACCAGAATTTGACAGATTTTAGCAATAAAAGCCTTTATGACATCCTATTTCATTGCTGAGTTTTGCTTTTATACATGAACTTTGTGTGGCCCAATATTCATGTTTCCAACTGCTGTAATGTAGATATTGTAATAGAGTGAAAAAACATTATGGAAAACAGGTCACTATTTTTTTATAACTATCTGTATGAAACTAATATCTGCCTAACAATTCTATACAACTGTATATTTCATAAAAAAAAAAAAAAAAAAAAAAATCTAAATGTTGAGTATATCAATTGTAAAAAAAATCTGAGCTTTTCTGAAGCCAGCCAAACTCACCCCATGGAGAAATTGGTCAAACTTATCACACCTGATACTGCACAGAGCAGAACAAAGAGGGACACTACTGTTACCAGTAAATTAAAAGAAAGTAATTTGCTGTAAGAAAAATTTGGACTTACCTATACTCTTCATCAAATGCCACTAATTCAAAGAGTTGCTTTCCTTTTTTATCATAAATAAACATCGCTGAATTAAGAGATCTAGGATGTTTTAATTTGATGACTTGAATATCGGCTGATGAGAAAAGAGAATCTGAAAAGAAAAAAAAAAAAAAGAATTTTCAGAATTAAAAGAAAAAATTATTGAAGCAACTTGAAAACTAAATTATAAATGCAACAACGAAAGGAAAATAACATGATACTCCTCTCTGTATAGTAATCAAAGTTACTGTCCAAAGCAAAAACTATCATTAAATGTTTTCATCACAATATATTAACCCCTTGCTGATGGGCATGGCATGTACGTACATGCCATGCCCACTGTGAGTTGAGTTGTTATGATTTTACACATAGATGGCTACACTTGTACTAAGTCACCAGTGAGCCAATTACGAGTACTGCCTGTCTCGCCTGTTCACCCTTTTCATTGATTTACAAAAATATTTAACGTTATATTATTTTGCTGTTAAAAATAACACCATCTATATTTACAGCACTAGTTAGAATATGTTTTTTTCCCGCCAATTCAAGGGAAGGTGAAATCAGGACTAGCAGAGCCATCTATGTACAGAGACATTTCACAAAAATATAGAAAATGAGTATAGCATTTTCCCCATTTTTTATTCGTTTTCCCCGGCGGCAATGGGTTAAAGAAGAGATATTTAATTGATGAATGTTACCCGATTTGCCCCAGATTTATATTCTGTCCCCTGCAGTTTTTGGTGAATTTTGTTATATACAGATAGCTCCACAAAACAAAATGCAAATAAAAAGTAATGGTCAAACTCATTCTAGTTTGTAATTTTTTGGGAGATTCTGATCAGAATTTGACAGGTTTTAGCAATAAAAGCCTTTATGACATCCTATTTCATTGCTGAGTTTTACTTTTATACATGAACTTTGTGTGGCCCAATATTCATGTTTCCAACTGCTGTAATGTAGATATTGTAATAGAGTGAAAAAACATTATGGAAAACAGGTCACTATTTTTTTATAACTATCTGTATGAAACTAATATCTGCCTAACAATTCTATACAACTGTATATTTCATAAAAAAAAAAAAAAAAAAAAAAAATCTAAATGTTGAGTATATCAATTGTAAAAAAAATCTGAGCTTTTCTGAAGCCATTCAAACTCACCCCATGGAGAAATTGGTCAAACTTATCACACCTGATACTGCACAGAGCAGAACAAAGAGGGACACTACTGTTACCAGTAAATTAAAAGAAAGTAATTTGCTGTAAGAAAAATTTGGACTTACCTATACTCTTCATCAAATGCCACTAATTCAAAGAGTTGCTTTCCTTTTTTATCATAAATAAACATCGCTGAATTAAGAGATCTAGGATGTTTTAATTTGATGACTTGAATATCTGCTGATGAGAAAAGAGAATCTGAAAAGAAAAAAAAAAAGAAAGAATTTTCAGAATTAAAAGAAAAAATTATTGAAGCAACTTGAAAACTAAATTATAAATGCAACAACGAAAGGAAAATAACATGATACTACTCTCTGTATAGTAATCAAAGTTACTGTCCAAAGCAAAAACTATCATTAATTGTTTTCATCACAATATATTAACCCCTTGCTGATGGGCATGGCATGTACGTACATGCCATGCCCACTGTGAGTTGAGTTGTTATGATTTTACACATAGATGGCTACACTTGTACTAAGTCACCAGTGAGCCAATTACGAGTACTGCCTGTCTCGCCTGTTCACCCTTTTCATTGATTTACAAAAATATTTAACGTTATATTATTTTGCTGTTAAAAATAACACCATCTATATTTACAGCACTAGTTAGAATATGTTTTTTTCCCGCCAATTCAAGGGAAGGTGAAATCAGGACTAGCAGAGCCATCTATGTACAGAGACATTTCACAAAAATATAGAAAATGAGTATAGCATTTTCCCCATTTTTTATTTGTTTTCCCCGGCAGCAATGGGTTAAAGAAGAGATATTTAATTGATGAATGTTACCCGATTTGCCCCAGATTTATATTCTGTCCCCTGCAGTTTTTGGTGAATTTTGTTATATACAGATAGCTCCACAAGTGCTCAGCTGGCAATGAGTTTATCAGTAGGCCTTAGTTACTGATCCTGATTTTCCCATTCCTTGAATTGGTGGGAAAATGTGTTTTTCTTATTAATACCATTGCTATCGATACTGTTATTATTGTTATTGATGTTATGATTATTAAATTGTCATTAAAATATTTTAGACAATGAAATGATACAAAAGAACCTTTCCTAAAGTGAAGGAAGAGGGTAAACAGGTGAGATAGATAGTTCTGTGAACTGGCTATTTGGTGATGAACCCTTTCCCGACGGGGAAAATGAATTAAAAATGGGGGAAATTCTGTGCTCATTTTTCATATTTTTGTGAAATGTCCCTGTCACTAGATGGCTCTGCTAGTGCTTAGCCATAAGGAATTTCACCTTTCCTTGAATTGGCACGAAAAATGTATTTTTACAAGTGCTATAAATATAGATGGTGTTATTTTTATTATAAACATTATAAGTATTATAGTGTTATAAGCATCTGTAACAGCAAAATAAGATAACGTTAAATATTTTCGTAAATCGATGACAAGGGTGTATGGGCGAGAGAGGTGATACTTGTAACTGGCTCATTCGTGATTTAGTATGTACGTACATGCCATGCCCATTGGCAAAGGTTTAATAAATTGTAGAGCCATCTATGTGTAATGTGTGTAAATACAATAAATAAACGTGTATTACAGTGGGCATGGCATGTATTCTTGCCACGTGGGGCGAATGGGTTAAACGTTTAATGCTTTAAACAAATAACCATCGATATTAATAGCACTAGTAGAAATACATTTTCCCGCCAATTCAAGTGAAGGTGAAATTAGGTAAGGCAGAGCCATCTAGTGTAGAGACATTTCACAAAAAAAAAAATAAAAAATGAGCACAGCATTTTCCCCATTTTTTGTTAATTTCTACCTGGCGTGAATGGGTTAACCCAATACTGATGAGCATGGCATGTACATATACTTGTACTAAGTCACCAATAAGCCAATTACAAATACTGCCTGTCTCGCTCATTTACGCTTTTCCTTGATTTACAAAAATATTTAATGTTATCTTATTTGCTGTTACTAATGTTTATAACCAAAACAACCATTGATAATCATTAAATTAGTAAAACATACATTTTTCCACCAATTCAAGAAAAGGTGGCAATTAGGTAAGGTTACAAAGTCTACTACCTGATTTCTTTGTGGTTAAGCACAAGCAGAGCCATCTGTGTGCAGAGACATTT